TGACTAGTACATGCAATCCATCTAGGACAAAAAACTGCAATCCCGTGATTGAAAGTAGGCTACCACTAAAGACAATGAATGACTAAAGATTCTTCTAGACGACTAGCTGCGGAAGGCCGATGTTGTACATATATCACATGCTCTTACTACAAGTAATAGGCAACGAGTAATCAAGCCCGGAGTTTGACAAACGAACTAAATGGCTATATGGCTAGAGTCTTGATTGAAAGATGACAATACCTGCTATGAAGAAAAAACTAGGCGCGATTAGACGGCTAGACTGTCTAGTGTAAAAATGATATCACCGTACGAGTACTATTATACATCACGAAGGAGCGGCAGTGCGTTTGACAACGGGAGGCGGTGGACGAAGCTTCTCTCGCTCATACTCTGCCCTGAGCCAAGCGATGCCAGTTAACACGAAAGCAGACATTTTCTCTAGCGGAGCATCCAAGAATGTTGCACCACAGATTTTTTCTAGCCTGAAGAATAACAAATATGAAAAACATAATGTATTAAACACTATCCAACAAAGACGCTCGAGTAAAATCATCTGCCAAAAATTGACTATCTTTGACCAGTGGCAAATGCACTCTAAATTTCTCATTCCCCCTTTTTTACGAATATTACATCAACAGCTAATTAACACCAAAGCTCCAAAGAAGATTACGTATGAAGACATCCAGTTATCTTGACGAAAGAGATTCTGAAATCCTAGAATTGAGTAGGAGCTACATATACAGCTTATCCTCTGGAAATGACCCACACGAAAAACGCATACTAATTCCATTCATCACCTCCGTCCCTTCCCCTTCATATTAATTGCCACGCCAAGGAACTCCACACCAAAGACATCTGGCGCGCGTCACTTGTTCGCGGCACTGCGGACAAAATAGCAGTCGCAATCAAGTCGAGAAAAACAAGCTACACACAATCTGTTCCTGTTACTAAAAGTATGTCAGCCAGTGCGCGTGCATTTGAAATAAAGCAGATGTTGCAGTATCCTCGAATGCATGTCACCAAACAAAACGAATAAAAAACAGAACCCGCTTTTGAAAGTGACCCGCCCCTTACGTTGACCATACTGTATGCCAGTAAAAGTTAAAGTTACTACTTAGATTTAAAGTAGACTAAAAATGAAAAAAAAGCGAATCTAACAAACTTACCCTCCTATAAAACCCATATCTGTGTTGCTAATGTCCGCACGTTTCACGGCATCTTGCCAGGTACGATGCGCAAACATAAGTTGGTGCAGAGTTTTCAGTTGCTGTCTTTGCACCTCGTAAACTCTGCTTGGCATAGAAACCTGAATTCAATACAACAGACTATAGATTAAAAGATAGTAATGATAGAAAACTTACAACGGTAGCGGACTGGTTCGAATTAGAATGAACGCTGCTACCGGGTGACGATGTGTTTGGAGCAGAAGAACCATTTTGAGCATGATCTTCTTGTATTTGGGCTTCCATTTGGGCAAGGATACTATACGCCTTCAGAGCGCTCTAAAATAAAACCACATAACAACTGTGAAAGTATAAATAATGCGAACGTTACTTGAGATCTGATGTTATAGAGATGGTACATCAAGCAGGCCTGACACCGCAAACTGAGATTTCGGATACGAGATGACATATGGGCATGCAAAGGTGAGCCACTTTCTGTTTGAGCCAGGAACATATTAGTTGTCTTCCTGAAACTCCCACGAGTTTGCTCGGTAGGAAAAATAAGACTTGGAATGTGTTCATCTCTGTTACCTAAGAAAAATGAATATTCTATTAGTATGGAACATCACAGGCCTTTAATATGAAAATTCAAAAATTCAGCGCTGATTCCTTGCACTGTAGCAGTGGTTTTAATGGCGGCATTACTTGCATATTTAAAAGTTCCATTCACCAAAAAACTTCGCTAAGAATCATTATTCTACACTTTCACTACGGAAAAACTGATGCTTTTAAATGCAACAAACAGCAAAAACTCCATGGCATATATAGTAAGTTTTCAACAGGAAACGATGACTTACTTAAGCAGATCGCTAGTATCACGTAAAATTGAATACTGCCGGTTTGCTTTACTATCATTCGCATCCGGAAGGTTGAAATGCTTTGCTGACAGAATGAAGTACGCGGACGCATCGAGGTAGAGCAAAACTTTGGCAATCTTGTCCGCCTAAAACTCCCAAAGAAAACCGCATTTTTACTCTAAGCAGCATTACACAGAGACCCACCTCTGCATCTCCTTTCCTCTTCCGCGACTTCGCAATAGAGTGATAAAAATCATATAACAGTTCTGTGCTACCCTCTTCAGGTTTTACAGGTCGAGCCGGCCTTATTGGGATACTTTCGCGGGCAGCACATTCAAAACTGTTTCTTGAAGGGTGATTGCTAACTGCGGATGAAGGGCGGGAATGAGATAAAGCCTGATCATCATG